GTTAGATTAAAGAAGGTGGGTTGGCGATGACGTCATTGTGGTCGCTGTTTCCAAAACGCGCTTTGCGAGTTAACCAATTTATCGTGTATATATATATAGATATATCGTTGTACGGTATTATTATATAGCAACTCAATTAAAGCACGAAATGATGGGGCCGTCTTCCGATAATGAGGCTTTTGCCTTCACTCTATTCAGCTTGGCTGGCTGAGCCGATGTGGACAGCCATTCCCTTGACACGTGCCCACTTGCCTTTCATGATCAAAATAGCTATTTCTCTTCTCCTAAATTTAGTCTCTTGGTAATTTCTTTCTTCATTTTATCAAAATGTTATTACGTTCATAAATGATAACTTCTTAATTTATGGAAGGATAAAAAAATAAAAAAAATAAAAAAGTTTATGAACATGATCCATAAGTATAGGGGTTAGATCTGCAATTAATAGTCCGCAACCTGCCGACGTGCTTAAATAAGTTTATAGTTTTGGCCCCTGCGTTTTTCGAAGCATGTTTAGAACTTTTTTTTTACTTCTTGATCCCTCTGCAAATTGAGGAGCTGTCACTTGTGGAGGCAGTAACATTTTGGTAAAAGTAGAGATGAATAGCTGGAGACATATTTTGAAGAGAGAAAGAACTATTTGGGTCGATTTTCCCTTTTCAAAACCTCTCAAAGATACCAATCTTAAGGGGGTGTTTGGGATTGCTTATCAAAACTGCTTTTTAACTTATTTCAGTCTGGCACCGAAGATAAGTTGTTTTCTAATGTTTGGATAAACAACTTATACCGGCGTCAAACCGGTAATAAAAAGTTTTTGAAGAAGTTAAACCCTTTTGATTTATAATAAGTTAATAAGTGTTTTTGTAGAAAAGTAAGTTGTTTCAAATAAGCAATCCCAAACACCCCCTAAGGGTTCAAAAAAATTTGATAGATAAAAGAAGTTAGGATTGGTTTATCAAACATTTATTGGGTGAACATCTGTCAGTAGTGTGGTCTCTTTTATATCTGATTTGGTCTCATTGAAATAACTTAGTTTTCAAGGAAGAAAAAGGAAAGTTGTCGGATATGCGGTTTGAATTCTAATTGAAAAGCTCCAAATGGCTTGCTAGAAGGGTCCAGAACAGTAAGTTAGATTGGTTTTCATGGATTTCTTCTCCAAATGCTCTGCCACACTAAAGTTGCCTTTTTCAACAGGTTTGAGTGCGTTTGAAGATTTTATGTAGTAGGCTCCTTTCTTTGTTTTTGTTTGGTGGCTTTAAAAACAACAAGAAAAATTACCTAATATACTTTATTATGTAACATTTTCGGCCATTAAAATGGATTATTGGTAAGTGTCTTAAACCCATCAAGCCCTTACCCGGAAAGAGTCTTTTTCCTCAGTTATAGAGTAAGACACTTGGTCCTTGTACCGAATAAGATTCTTGGTCCTTGTCATGCCTCTTATCGGTTAAATTTTTTGGTCCTTGTCAATTATATGCTCAATTGGTAAAGTAAGTGAAATCGGTAAAAATTTACCCGGTAAACATTTAGTAAACGACCCCTAAATTAATTTATTAAATAAAAAAGTTTAAAAAGGATAAATAGATAATGAAGGCTAAAAACCAATTATATATATATATATATATATATATATATATATATATATATATAGGGGTCGTTTACTAAATGTTTACCGAGTAGCACCTACGTGCAAGAGAAATTAATCTCACTTGCTTTATCATGTGACATTATCGGCCACCAAAATAGATTGTTGGTAACTATCTCAAACTCGGTAAATGCTTACCGGATAAGAGTCTTTTTTCTCACTCAACAGATAAGACTCTCGGTCCTTGTTATGCTTCTTACCAAATAAGATTCGATAAGATTGTTGATCTTTGTCATGCTCAATCAGTAAAGTTGATGTTATATATAAGCGTTTATCAGATAAGCATTTGCTAAACTGCCCAAGAGTTCAAAAATATTTAATAGTGCATAATACAAGATCAAAAAGAATTTAATGAATAATTAAAGACAAAATATATTATTTAATTATATTGTAATCTGTTAACTTGGTTATATCCATGCTAATGACAATGGTTTAAACGAAGTACGAAAATAATAACATTTACAATTTTAAAAGATTTTTATTCACTTTACCTTAACACCCTAAAAAAGGCTCACGAAAAAAATCTAGTATTATTTGTCTAATCGTGAAATCGTAATGTTAGCTGTATGATGTTTGAATTTTTGTTTACTTTTATACTGTAATCTAACGTTGTTTGTAATTGGTTTGATTATTTTGAGACATTTAGACTTATATCTAAAAAAAACTGTAATTTACTTTTAGTTGTAAAAAGTCAACATATTGTAAATTTTTTCAGATCGGTTTGGGTTCAAGTATAAATAACGGTGAACGGGGAAACCAATGGAAAATATGGGATTTTTACCCTTAACGGGTTCCCCAACGGGGATCGATGAAACCGCGGGGACCCGTCAGGGATCCCTGATAAGATTCCCGACGGGGATCGAGACAGTTACAGAGATGGTTTTAATTATCGGTTTTAAGAACGAAGATACCAATAACCGGCCTGAACCTAGTCCGTTGCCATTCCTAAAAACAGAAATAAACTAATTTTTTGTTGAAAAGATATAAGTTATTTATTTATCTATTTTGTCACTGATGTTTTTGGAGGTGGCAATGTGAAGGTGTGCTTGTGGATTTGGTAGGTGATTTAAGGTGATATTTTACAGTTGTTGAATGGTTTGGTATATAATGATTCAGTAGTCAGAATGATTAAGAAGCTCTTATAATATAATGCAAAATGAAATATAATTGTTTGGTAATTATTCAGAATGAAATTAGGACGCTGAATAGTTAAGGGAGACTTAAGATACAAAATCATTCAGAGGGCTTTAAAACCATTAGAAGACAAACTTTTTTTTATCAAACAAGATTCACCTCTTAGCGATTCAAATATTGTCTTTTAATGGAACTATTAAGAGGTAAACAAACAACCCATAAACTTGGTAAGACAATGGTAGATATATAGATAAGTGACATAGAGAGGTGGTTTTTCATTAATTAAGTTCTCATATTTTTTAAACATTAATTTGTTTGGAGAAATTAACATAAATTATTGTCCTAAATAAATAGTAACAAAAAAATTACCATTTTAACCTTATGTCTACATAAGTGTTGGACAAAAATAAACTATCTGATAAATAAATTAAAATAATATGAATTATTTAAAATAACATAAATAATATGAATTCAACGAGTTTATAACAAATATTTTATAACTTAAAATATATTTAAAACAATAAAACGTTATTGTTTTATTACAAATTTTAATTTATACATGTAGGTAAACTATTTGAGACGTGTATTAAAACTTGTAGAACAAGGGTAATTTTGGAAAAAAAATTATAAGTTAATGCATTAAGATAGGATGAGCTAGCTTAACATATTAAGTCAATCTTTTACCATTAAGTTAAAATCAAACATATTAATATAACTTAACAATTAAGCTAACCACCCGCTAAGTTTGTTAAGTTAAAAACAAATATCACCTAAGAACGAAAGAAAATTCATTTTCAACTTGCGGCCTCGAAAATAAAATTGTGGAGCAGGTGATTTGGTGTACCGGTGAACTTATGAATCTTTCTTACTGGTTTTAAGACGTTTACAGAAAAGGTAAAATAAAAATACAATATCATAAGGACTAATGTTTCATTTTTCCAACACTTGAAAAGGTTTACAAATTTTCGAATTATGGGAAGAATACAGTACCACATGTGATTGAATCACCGTATCGAATCAAAAAAATTCGGATTCGGAAGGAGAATAGGACCACAAGAATTTATTATTTTCTTTTTCTAATATTTAATATATATTCATATATATATATATATATATATATATATCGTCTTAGATAAAAGATATTTTCTTTATATGAAAATTAAATTATGCTTATTTTAAATAGATTATATTAAAATCACAAAAATATTAAAAAAGAAAATCTTAAATAAATGTCTTAGATAATTTTTATATAAATAAATAACTATTATGTTCTTATTTATTTATTTTTAGAATTTTTTTATTTAAAGCATTATTTAATAAATTTATAAATTGTATGATCGTATTCATTATTTTATTTTTTTATTTGATTATTGTTCTTATTTGAAACCGTTATATATAGGATCAAATTCAAAAGAAACTCCAAATAAATGATAAAATTGAAAAACCATAAAAAACAGATGAGAAAAATATATGAATATGAATGTCAAGTTAACAAAAAAAAAAAAAAAATGATTGTTTTTAGTGTAGTTTGTTTAAAAAATAATAAAAGAGATTTTTTAATATAAATATAAAGTCGTAACCGTTTCTTTAATTAATTAAATCAATTAGTCTGATGCTTTGTGTTTATTTTCCTGTATTTGATTATGCTTATCTGTAGTTAGTTATACGAATTCAAAAATAGAGCTTTAATAAGTTGTAATTACGTACAATTTACTTGTAATCTTAAATTTTAAATAATACATATCAATAAACAATACTTCATGCATAAAAAATAGATTTTAAGAATTTTTGTCAAATGCTTAATAATATAGTATAAATTAAATTGGATGAGGATTAAAGTTTGAGTATAGTGGTACCCACCCAATAGAACGAAAGAAAACGGGTTGGGCAGTTGGGCCGGGTTGAGGTAACAGGACCCAAATAAGTCAAAACGTCAACCATACAAATCATCAATTTGCAGACTGAAAATTTCTTGATTTTCATTCCTCTGTTTTCTCCCAAATACGGGCACCATGCTGTCCCCCTGTGATCTAGTAATCTCTTCCATTCATCGTCAATATATGTTCAACCACCTTTTCAATCCCTTTTCTCAATCCTCGCCGTTTTAATTTCATCATCAATCTTCTAAGCATCTTTTTCCACTCCCATTCATTTCATGGATCTCAAAACTTGTTTGCTTTTTCATGATTTTCTGTAGATACCTCCCCCCCCATTTGAAGGAATCATGGAAAGTGGTTATATACCCGTTCCCGAAGAATCTTTTGTCGAATTGCAGTTACAAGATCATCGTTATTACGGATCTCAAAACCCTACATTATCCCAAAAAGAGGCTTCTTCTAAATTAATACGTAACGAGGATGAAGAAGGTCTTGTAACCCACCGGATAGATAATTTAGGAACCGATGATAACGATCAAGATCTTTCTCCTGATAAGTTACATAAAGAAAACGCCAATTCTGGGACCTATGGCGCCGTGTTTAATTTAACCACAACTGTAATCGGCGCCGGCATTATGGCGTTGCCGGCCACCATGAAAGTTTTGGGTTTGTTCGTCGGAGTTATCTTGATTTTCTTGATGGGTATTTTGTCTGAGATTAGCGTTGAGTTGCTCGTTCGATTTACTGTTCAATCCAAGGCTCTTTCTTATGGGGAAGTTGTTCAACACGCATTTGGTAAACCAGCTAGAATATTGTCTGAAATATGCATTATACTTAACAACGCCGGAGTTTTGGTGGTTTATTTGATCATCATAGGTGATGTGATGTCGGGTTCTCTTAATCATGTTGGTGTGTTTGATCAATGGTTAGGCAATGGGTTTTGGGATCACCGGAAATTAGTAATCTTGATTGTGATGATTCTGTTTCTCGCTCCACTTTGTGTATTGGATCGTATTGATTCTTTGAGCGTAACTTCAGCTGCTTCGGTAGCTCTCGCAGTCGTGTTCGTGGTCGTTGCTTTTGTTGTCGCGCTAATTAAGCTCGTTAGAGGTGAAACCGAAACTCCAAGAATGACACCAAATTTCGGATCAGAAAAGACAATTCTTGATCTGTTAGTTGTGATTCCAATTATGTCGAATGCCTTCGTTTGCCACTTCAATTTGCAGCCTATTTACAACGAGCTTGAAGGGCGTTCGCCCCAGAAGATGAATAGAGTTGGCCGGATCACCACTGTTCTTTGTATTATGGTCTATTGCTCAACTGCCATTTCAGGTTACCTCCTGTTTGGAGAGGATACAGAATCAGACGTGCTTACTAACTTTGATAAGCCTCTTGGAATGGAGTTTAGTACAATTTTAAACTACATAGTTCGTGTTGGATATATTCTTCATCTGGTTCTTGTTTTTCCGGTGATCCATTTTTCTCTGAGGCAAACGGTGGATGCATTAGCGTTTGATGGGTCAGCTCCATTGCAAGAAAGTAGGCAGAGGTGTCTTGCTTTGACCTTCACCCTTTTGGCGGTCATTTATTTAGGATCGACCGCCATTCCAAGTATCTGGACAGCTTTTAAGTTCACAGGTGCAACCACAGCCGTTTCCTTGGGCTACACTTTCCCAGCTCTTATCGCGCTAAAGTTAGGCAGCCAGGGGTCAGGTTTGAGCAGCCGAGAGAGGTTTTTGTCGTGGTTGATGTTGTGTTTGGCGCTCATTGTTAGCGTTGTAGGAGTTATTAGCAACATTTATAGCCTGCAAACTGATTCTGAGTGACTGCTTTTTGCAAGTTAAGAAGTCAGAAGCTTTACTTTTGTAGGTTGCAGTTTGACAAACTTAACCATAACACTCGACGATTGGTTCCAGAGGCGGGGATCATTGGTGCAAACCTGTTGATTACGTTATCATTAGCGAAGGAAATGTAATCATTCATTGCTTCTTCAACACCCTCTTCATATGAAGGGTCACTGTAAGTTCAGAATACATGATAGTTGCAACTCATTATTCATCAAACAGCCATTTTTTAGTGCTTTATACTGTTCAAATCTAAGGATACTAGATTGTTGGTGCTAAAAGATGATCAATACAAGTAACAATGTTACTCAACAATATGAAGAGATGGTAAAGCTGGGAGATTTTATGAGCTTAACACCTCTGAATCTAATAAGCAATCATGGGGGTTGACTTAATGAGTTTATACCATTTGACTTGAATACAGTGGATGAAAAAGATTGGGAATCCAAAGGATTTTGCTGGTTGATTCTATCTTTTAGATCAAAGTTTGAGACTTTAATTGTTGGTGGGGTTTGGGTTGGTAAAGATTTAAGATTTAATGCTTAGATTCTTTGAGAACACCTTGATAAGCACCATTTTTGGGGATCTGCTTGGACCTTATATCAGTTCTGGACTGCAATGATGATGAACCAGAAACCAATAACTGAAGCAAAAATCAAGTAATTTAACCAACAATTCAGATCCAAGTAAATCAGGGTCTAACCATTAAAAAACCCGAAGTTCATGGTAAAGCTTGGATCTTGGAATCACGAGCGTGCACTCCACACATCTTAGTCCATTATATAGCTTAATTGTCAACCCCGTTTCTTTTTTATGTATCCAATTACATAAAATAAACCGATGATTTCAGTAAAATCACCAAAAACATACACTTAAATTTCATTTTTCCTAATTAAATGCTAATGATTTCAAAAGGGTTTGTAACTACAGCATTTGTAATGTGCATGCTCACATTTTAATATCATAGATCCCCATGCATCTGTCATCAATCCTTAGCTCATGAAAACAACACATAATTATAAAACCAAATTAAATTGGATAATTAAATCTTCCTGTCTAGTCTTGATCATGATGTCTTACCTAAACAAACATCTCACATACAGATATAATTCTATCGCTCTGCTCTTTAGGGTAAATGTCGTATCTGCTTTCATTAAGCACTCATATCCCACCTCTAGTGAGATTGGTTTGGTTAGATTTGGTTTTCTTTTTCGCACATTTATTCTCCCCCTCGTGTCGGTATATTAAACTATACATTACAGATTATTATATATATTATATACTTTGCCATGTTAACTCTGTGTATGGATTGCTGACACCCTTTTAATATTTGATATAGATATGAAACATGATTTTCTTTCCCATATTCCAATTTGATCGACACAAACAAATAGAAAGACACCATATTTATTGTCAAAGGGTGTTGGAAACTTGGATCTCGAGGTACATCGTACCAATTTAATTATTCAATATTATTTATAATTTTATTGTTAAAAATATATTTAGTATTATATATATATATATATATATATACATATGTGCCATGCATTGCATCATACACCACTACTTTTTATCTGTTTTCTTATTATACTCGAGATCTACGTGTAATATATATTATACAAAAATAGGCCATTCATATATGAATATCTTAATAGTTTTGTAACGTAGTTTGAGATGACAATGAGTCATGAATGTGCATAAATTTTTGGATGGTATTATATGTGTATAGAGGAAAATTCAGTTACAAAGTTGTTTTCCGTTGTGAACGGGGGACAAAGGAGAGCACGAAAAGTGTTCCCATTCATCATGAATAATGAACCTTATTCGTCATATAAATCTTTTATAACATTCATGATGAATGCTACACTATTCATGATGAATACTTGGAGAGATGGCATTTTCTTTGTCCCGCAGTTCACGATCAAACTTAAGTTTGTAATTGATCTTGCCCTGTTTATCATATATAAAAAACTTATAATTAAAAAATCGAACATAAAGACAAGGATTTAATAAAAAAAAGTTATGGTCCAAAAGATTGGAAAAAAAAAACGTAGGGTAGTGGTGGTGGGTATATCCCGTGACCCATGTTGCCGTGATTGATGATTTGATGCCAATCCCCCATCAAGATTTCTTACCCTTCACTTCACACATGCAACATTTTACCCCCACCTATACTTTTGAGGCATCGGAAACACCTATTTCGTAAATATACAACTCGTGTTCCCAAATTTCATGTACCTTTCGTATCCACCAATCACATGACAACACGTTATCAGATGAATTAAATAAAATAATGATGTGTCTTCACGTGATTGGTAGGACCACGGGGACAAGTGAGATCTGGGGACAAGTTTCTTTTGGCTATACCCCACAAACCCTTTTCTTTAGTCTCTTCAAAAGCCATTAGCAGACTATGAAATGTCGTTTTTGCCCCTACTTGTTACCTCTCTACTTCAATCTTGATATAAATAACTTCATCTTCCATTGGAAGCATCACACATGCTCCATTTCATTAGCAAATAGCAAAGATGCATCAAGCCATTGACTGGTTTTCTTGGCTATCAAAAGCTGGGCTTGAGCCTTCACTTATTTACGAATATGGGATGGCTCTATCGCGTAACGAGCTTGAAGAAGGTGATATAGCTTATTTCAACCATGAATTCCTTCAAAGCATGGGAATCTCCATAGCTAAACACAGGCTAGAGATACTGAAGCTTGCTAGGAAACAGAAAGGCTCAAGTGGTTCACACCCCATCTCAAAGCTTATGATTGCCATCAAGAAAACCAAGAGAACCTTGGCTAACTACATCCATACATGGGTGCGCCGGGATGACTCGGCTCTGGTGCTGGTTCGTAGGAGTAATGGTTCAGGATGGAGAGGTGCTATGTTAAGAACCAACAACAGGAGAATGGTCACCTTTAAACAAGCTAATCCCACTCTTTTGCTCACTAATGGTTACCATCCTATGGTGAAGTCCACCAGTGCTAAAGTGAACAGCATCTCGAGCTCATCATTGGTTTATGGTCTTCAGTATGATCAAGGTATAAAGGACAGTTTCGATGGTGACACTTCTGATGAAGAAGACGGTGGTTATTTATCTGGGAATGGTGTTCAAGAGATTCAATGGGACACTTTGTTCCAGAATTTGAAACCGACTTGAAGCTGTAGCAGTCATCGTCTTCTTCGTGGATCTGTTTTTTCTTGTTCTGAATAAATTATTACAAGAATTATAATGGTGAGAGAGATTCTATTTTTCAATGTTCTTCCACCAAGTTGATAGCTAAGAAGGCTTTGTATTTACTTTAACAAATGAGTTTACCCATTTGGGTGGGGGGGTATTCTTGAATCTTGATGATTGTCAAAAGAGTTGTATATTTTATGTAATAAACTTGTATCTTTTTTTTTTTATTAACCTGGATATCCAATCCGACTAATCCTAAAGCGACCACTTGCTTTGCAGATGGCTTGAGGTCACCGCATTTGAACCTCTGTGGCCACAAAAGGATTTTTATTCTTTTTTGGATTTGAACTTGGAACCTTGTGATACTTTTTGACCTTTGGAGTCAAACTCAAACCAATCAGACACCACCGTTATGGTTAATAAACTTTTTATGTTTAATCTTGATGTGATGTTGCAATTTAGTCAAGTCAACCCATGCTTTTGAAGGATTGGTCATAATTCCTGTGGGCCAAGGGAGATGGTGGCCATACTTACTAGTCATGGGTGCTTTGGAATTTCTGGCTGCAATTGGTAGTGGGATTGTATTGCGTTTGTGTAGCATCAACATTGGGCAACTCTAATTATAGTTCTTGGAAGATAGTCAAAATTATGTATCTATTTTTTTAAAATTTGAACTGATTCTAACATTTAAACAAGTGTAAATAGCATTACACAATTTAAATGATATAGGACTCAACAGGCTTCTTCCAACAAAGGTTAGACGGATATATATATATACTCCCAGTATGATAATATAGAGGCTAAACRGTACAGATTACACCATACTGTCAAAGTCTCTAGAATAATAAACCTCGAATATGATACGATGTGAAAATATATGAAACTCTGTTAAATTACTTTCCACAATAACCCTCGAGAATTGAAGGTTTCCACACGTATCGACGAGAAATGAGTAGAACAAAACCCACAAACAAAAAACCATAGCAAATGTAGAGGGAAATTGACCTAAATAGCCAATCTTGACAACCCACTTCACTTTTTAGTCACTTTTTCAACTGAATTCTCGTTTTAAAGGATTCAAATTTCTACGTAAAGAAACCTTACACATATCCCTAAGGATCCGCCCACCCCAAAACCAGTCTTTACACAAATGCATACCAAACAGTAGACACTGTTTTAGAAGGGGCTCTAAAAGGTGAGCTAAAAAGTGAATTTGGTTGATGAGATTAGCTATTTCGTTAAATTTCCCAAATTTAATAACATGGCTCATGGTACATGTCAGCACTACCAAATGAAGAGAGTTGTTTTGATTTTACATCAGCAATACACATATTAAACTGAAGTTAGGTTGCCCTGCAACTTTTGGAGATGATCATGCTCAAAAACATTAACAATTCTCTTTATGGTTGACTCATCACAAGAAACCCTAATCTTCAATTGTTGGAGCTTTGTGGTAAACGGAACGAACCACCGGCATAAAGCATTTGGTAAACCGGTCTAATCCTGATGGTTAATACTAAGCTCAAGATCGCACTTAAACCACAGACACCTGCAAGAACCAGAAAGGTGAGCCGGAAACAGTTTGGGCCCATGCACATGGACCCGCCTTGCTTAGCTTCTTCTGTGTCGTAAACGTAACCAGCGAGCATCCCAGAAAAGAGAAGGGCGCCAATCGGGTTTCCGAGCCCCATAAAGTTGAATATTATGCCGAAATTTTTCAATCCAAAAAGCTCAGATGAAGTCGGGATCATAACAGCAAACTGAACACCATAGCAGATTCCGAGCAATGCTGTTGCAGCATAAAGTGTCCCATTAAGAGCTGATGCATATAAAAGATATGTCATTACCATGATTATTTGCGTTATGACCGTCCAAAATGTGCGTGGAATCGTCTTCGATCTGAAGCAAAATCACAATTTTAAGTCAATTCTTATGATCCCCCTACCAAAGTTCAAACCAAGGAGATGTCAATCTACAAAAAATTGATTCGGGGTTGTTTGTTTACTCTTAATAGTTCCATTAAGAGGCAACCCCTGAATTGTTAAGAGGTGAATCTTGTTTGGCAAAAAAAAAATTCTGCCTCTTAATGGTTCTAAAACCCTCTGAATGATTTTGTATCCTAGATCTCCATTAACCATTAAGAGCCCTAATTTCATTGTACACAATTACCAAACAATTATATTTCATTTTGTACTATATCATGAGAGTCTCTTAATCATTCTGACCACTTAATCATTCTGCACCAAGCCATTCAGCAATTGCCAAACAGCCCCGAAGTCATGATCACCATTCACTATAACAAAATCAGCGTTACAGGACACCAAATATGTGTAAGGGCATATGTTTGGTTGGTTTTCCCAATGAAGTCCTGTATAGAGAAAGTTATTCGTGTGGATTAATCCGTTTGTATAGATTGAGAATGTTTCAGTTTGGGGGGCTTTTTCATAGATGGAAGTAGGTGCGTGTTTTTTAATTGGGAGGGGCAGGTATGGGTAAAAGTGACTGAATAGGCCACTTTCTATATTATTAAGCCACCACCAAACAGTCATATATAGCCGATCAAATAAGCTGCAAGCTCCATTAAGCTCAGTAAGCTGCTAACAAACAGACTCTAGATGTTCTAAAAGACTGTTTTATAGGACTTGAGTTTATAGAACCAAACAAGGGATGCGTAAGAATGGATCTCCACCATTGGATGCACATTAGGACGAGATGCACCGAGATGAGATGCACCGGATCAATCCCCATATCAAACGCGATTCATGGGTGGGTTTGAGATTAAAGGTGATCAAGAGTTCAGATCCTTTCTTATGCTTCTCACCTTAACTCTCCTTCTCATATGATCCTTCGCCACCAAACAATTGTGTTTTTTATGTAAAAGTGTTATAATAACATTATAGGATGTGCTAACAAGTAGTTTATGGGACTCTTGAAATAAGGTGTCCTATTAGTATTTTTTACACAACTTTTTATAAAACACTTGTTTTTTACAAGACATTTTTTCAAATAATTACCCATAAAAAGAGATTGATATAACGCTTTATTTAAAAAATGTCCTAAAAGTTGTCAGCACACCCAAAACCAAAACCGTCCTATCAACTTATTGTAATACTTTTATATATGATGCACAATTGTTTGGTACTATAGAAATAAGTCCTATAAGCAGATCATTATGACATTTAGACATATTTGACGTCTTATAAAGATCGTTGTAGTGATTCCAAAGATAATGCAAATTGTAACCGAATAGATTATAAAGATTTTACCTTACAAAGTATTCCGAAAGAGCACCTCCTCCAAGACGGCCGAGGAAATTGCAGAAACTGAATAGACTCAACAGCGATGTCGTATCGTTAAAACCAAGCGAAACCCCAATCTGGGCCAAATTATTAAGAACCGTGACTCCAGAGCCGACACCAAGGAAATAAACCAACCACAGAAGCCAGAAATCAGCCTTAACAATGGCTTCGCGAAACGTAAAATCTTCCCCTCTTCTCGGTCTTCGTTTCTTCTTAATTTTCACAGCCCCTTCTCCTACAGCAAGAAGCAGATCGACATCCGAGATCTCTTCGCCCTCATTGAGGCTTGTAAGATTTGTGGCTGAAAAAGCTGATGTCATCAATGGATCGGCTGCAGTCTCCTCTGAGACCAAATTGCCCGAAGAACCAGCTGGGCGGTTAAACTTCTTGCTAGACGGAAATATAGTCATTTTGATCGGAATCGCAAGAGGTGCCATTAAAAGAACCACCATTATCGCAACAAAAGTGTAAGAAATGGCATTGCTTAGATCCAGAACGTCTTTCAGAATCGTGGTCGTTAAAAGAAAGATTGCAAGCACGAGACTAGCCCCTTGAGTGAAAAGAAAATGGGCATTTTCCGATGGGTCTGCTTCAGAAGCAGGAGTACACGGCCGAACATAATACATCAAAGCCAAACATGTAACAGGAATACCGAGTGTAAAGAAGAGCAATAAAGCCGAAGCTGATCCTTTAAGCACCATCGTGTACAGCTCTGTGACAACCGCAGCACTGAGGCCAACATAACCCTTGAGAACACCAGCAACCGTGCCCCTACTGAGCGGGAAATTCCTCATGTTGGTAACGAGCACTGCCGTGCCCAACCACGCGCTGCTGTTGGTGGCAATAGCAAGTGCAACCCACAACTGCAAATAGTATCGGGTATCAGAAACACAAGAAAGAAAGAAAAACAAAGACTTTCTATAACGAAATGAATTGCTTTATAGATTTATGTAACAACTAAGGATGGACATGGCAATTTTAGGCCTTTCCGGCTGTTTGGTTGGTTTTCCATCAAGTACTGTATGGAAAAAGTTGTTTGTATGGATTAATCTCTCTGTATAGATTAGAGTTTTTGTTTGGGAGGACTTTTTCATAGATGGAAGGAGCATGTTTGGAAAAAACTTGACTTTCTACGTAAAGCTTCCTCCTAGAAGCTTACTACATAAGGGCATGGTTGTTAGCAGTTTAATGAGCTTCATGATACTCACAGCTTATTTGGTTAACTATATACAACTGTTTGGAAATGGCATAATGATATAGATAGTAACTTACTCAGTAAGCTTATAAGGAGGGGCTTTATGCAGAAAGCAATTATTTTCCAAACATTCCTTTCCTAATTAGAAAGGACACTACTTCCATCTATAAAAAACCATTAAAAACAAAAACATTCTTAATTTATTCAAACAGATTAATCTAATGGAAAACCAATCAAATAGCCCTAGGCCACTTTCTATGTCATTAATAGCTCATCTATGAGCCTCGTTAAGCTCATTAAGCTGCTAACAAACGGCGGATTTCTTGGAGGCACAAAACTAGATATGGACTACAGGACTAGCCTCACACAAATCATAAACTGCAGTTAATAAAGATCCAAGAAAGCATAGATCTTTTATCCATATTTCAGATTGCACAACCGCAATTCAAAAACCCTATAAATCCTTATATAATCTAACCTGAAGATCATATTCTAAAGACAAATCAATCAAAATGGGTAGGTAAAAAACTGAATCTTTTCAAGAGAAAAAAAGGTAAAGTACTTACAACCCAATAAGGCATATTAAGAACTGTCTGACTCACAGCAAGCCAAATGACACCATAACCGATGAAAGAAGCAAAAACTCCGACCAAAAGAACAAGCCAAGGTGGGTATTTGTTAGATGCAAGTCCAGGAAGAATACCAACATTTTCCCCAAAATCATTAGCAACACCAAGAATGGTGAGCTGTTGTTGAGAAAGACCTAATACGGATTTGAGGGTGTGGGAGTAAAGAGGGAAAGCATAGGCGTTTCCGGCGGCTATTTGGACCCAAACAGCCGCTGCAAGACCAACCCATGGCGGTCGGCTTCCAGCTTTCAGGGCGGCGGCCATGGCAGATACTCCAAGATAGAATTTCCCACCGAGGGTGGCTCTCTGCAACTAAGGTTAAGTAGTAGTAGCTTTCGAAAGATCCATGAAAGGTTTGTGGGTTGGACAAAAAGTCGCTCTCGGCTTGCTTTTTTCCCGACGCACTGCCTTTAAATTAATATAAAATAATAGTACTTTGAATAATTTTATATTCAAAAAATCTTAACTTAAATGTCACACTCGACTTCTTAGGAAAAAATAAAGGAAGATTAGGAGACGTTTATTTTTTAATAGTTTTATTAAGAGACATTTTTTGAATCATTAAAATATGAATTTTGTTTGGTAAAAAAATGTTTGTTTTGTAATGGTTTTAAAACCATTTGAATGATTTTGTATCATGAGTCTGTTTTAACTATTCAACGCCTTAATTTCATTGTAAGCAATTACCAAACAATTATATTTCATTTTGCATTATATCATTAGAGTCTCTTAATCATTCAGCACCAAACCATTCAACAACTATCAAACAGCCCTTAAATTACGTTTTTTCTTCTCCTTTTGGTAACTATGATTTTTGTGTATCTGATTTAAAATGTGTTGTTTGTGATTTGTATGGTTTTTAATATGTTATTATTTTTGTTATTATGATCTATAATTTATTGTTGTTTCGGTCATTGTCTTTTACAATTCTTTAATGCTTTGATCACTTTACTTAAAAGTAGGAACTAGATTAGGGATGAAGACCATAATAAATTGCAAATGATAGGGATGAAAACTGAAAATTTAAAATCATAGGGACAAAAGTCAAAATTATAAATAAATCACATGGGACAAAAACCTATATTTTAAGTAAATTATGTTTTTAGTCTTTGGTTTCTTGAAAATTGTTATTTTTGTACTTGTAGTTTTGAAATTACAACTTTTATTCCTTTAGTTTATAATTTATTCTTGTTTTCATTTTTATGATTTTTAATTTATTTTTATTTTTGTATTTATGATTTGAATTCATTATTATTTTTACTGTTTATACTTAAATATAAAAATTAACTTTAAAGAAAGAAAATAATAAACAAGCAAATTGCAATTCTAAAACTATAAGGGAGGAAGTCATAATTTTTAATAGAGTATAAGGACTAAAAACATAAATTATTAGAAAAAAGAGAGAAGGGAAGGGTCCACATCGTATATCCATGGACCAGACTTCAAAAAGAAAAGAGTAATTAAAAACATTTATATATTAAAAAAAACAAAATATACAATAAATAATCGTTTCTTAACGAATTCTTAAAATGACCATATATTTCTTAGTATTTGTTTGTAAGAGTCATTTTATATACCAAAAAAGCGTAATTTTTTTTATTATAAGAGATTAGTTTGGAGAAAAAAAAAACTTTTAGCTTTCTAGATAAAGCTTCTTTACGAATTTGATGAATAAGTTATTTTCTATATTATTAAGACATTTTCAAACAGTTATATGTATATAACTGACCAAATTTACTATAAGTCTCGTTAAGCTCATTAAGCTATTAACAAAACTTAATTCTAGTAGCATTTTTTCTTATTAATCATAATTTATTTGTTGATTTTTCAATATCAGTAAGTTCGTTATGATCTTATGTGGAGGCAAAATGACAAGTTTTGGATTTGATTCCAATTTATAGGACAAGAGATACTTGGTTTTTAAGTAATAACTTTATATTTATTTGTCTAAATTTAATAATTTTTGTCTTCAAAAATCGAAAGTTTAGACTTTTCAAAATACTAAAAAACTATCACGTCCAAGTCTCCTAAAAATCAAGAAATCAATATTTATTTACATATATTATAAGAGTAGGCGAGGTTTAAACGAAAACACTCATATTTTACGAAAATATAAGAACATTTATGAGCCTTCAAATTGATTAACGTATGATAAAAATCAAATTAAATGAAAATACATTAGTATTTATTAACAATTTTCTGTTATCTTAAATTTATCTTTATCTCTTAAATGTTTCCAGTATCATCGAAGACTTTATGTCGATGTCTCCATTGATGTGATGACAATGTGATTTTGCTGTGATATTAATATGGTAATACCTTGATAAACTGAAGACTTCTTATGATATAATTTTGTTGTGATACACGTGTCTAATATTCTTAAAAAGAGTGATTATATATTTAATATTTTGATGTTCCTCCTACTCTTAATCACAAGTGTTGTGTTAGAACCCTTCTTCATAAAAGTAATTACTCCTTAAAGTCCTCGAAATTGATTTTTTGACCCCCAAAAAAAGTAATTATGAATTTTGTCGTTATATAATGTCGATCAGGAAAAATTTATCGATTTTTTTAAAGGAAAATAATTATATGTCGTTGTACATACCGCTCATCTGGGCTGGAAGGGGGATCCAAAGGCTCAAATTTCCCTTTAATATTAAGTAACAAGTAAATGTTAGTCGTTATCAAATGAATTGTTTTTGGTAAAAAGATAAAGTGTGATAGCATTAGAAAGAATATCTGAAGTGTCGGGTTGCTTTTTAAAAGATATTTTTTTGTACCTACCCTATTTGTAAAGTAAATGGATCATTTTTTATATGTGTTTTTGTTTGATCAATTCTATCTTATATTCATTCCAATTTGATGTGTGTTAAGTTGAATGAAAAGTAAAATGGTGAAGTTGTGGTTAGAAACGGTTTCTTCCTATGTAATTTATTTACCAAAGAAAAACTAGAACATATAACTTATACAAGGTAAGTTGAAAAAGACGATCAAAAACTAAGGAATTGTAAGTATTATATATATATATATATATATATATATATATATAGTTGGGTTCATGTGAGACCAAATGTTTTTCGTGAGACACATAAGACCAATTTATGTTCATTGATAAACTTTATAAGCTAATGATCTAATGGTCTAAAGTTGTACGATGACAATTTTGTGATTATTAAAAAGTCTCGTGGCAATTTTGTGATTATGAATGTTCATATTGTAGATCTAATCCAAGGGTTGAGAATTGGTCTTACGGATTTTAAGAAAAACCATTGGTCTCACATGATCCCAAATCTATACGAGCACTCTCCATACGAGGACAAGCAAATGCAAGCACCCTCTTTGATGCCTGCAACGATCCAAAACACACCCTTACCCTTTCTCTAGCGATAGCCCTAACATAATTGTTGCTTCTACACTCAATGGACCTCATGAAGGCCAACGTTGTAGTTTAGTATAATCTATAAATTATTGATACCATTAAACGGACCAAGGATTAAAATAATGTTGTACCCCACCCATAGATAGTTATGGGGCTAATAAATGACAAAGCCCAATTAACCATGGCTGAAATGGGTTGGGCCTCAAACCTATGTTTATTGGACCCATCAACCATGTAAGGAACTAAGGAAGTAATATGATAGATGAAATTTGGGATTGCTTATTTGAAAACAACTTAAAAGGTGTCCGTGATTGTTTATTTGAAATAGTTTATACTTTTATACAAAAACACTTATCAACTTATTATAAGTCAGAAGAATTTAACTTCTTCAAAAATTTATTATTACCGGTTTGACACCGATATAAGTTGTTTATCCAAACACTCAAAAAGACTTATTACCGATATCATACCGGAATAAGTCAATAAGTTATTTTTATAAGCAATCCCAAACACCCTTGGACATGCCATGCTTTTATGCTATTAAAAAAACATAATTGAGTAAAATGCAACTAGTTGCTTCTATTTGGGTTTTTTAATATTTATTTAAAAACCTATATCAAATCAGATAAATAGATATTACATATATAGAAGACCTTTCAAATTAATCTTAACCATTCATCTATCATAATGAATATCTTGTTATGTAATCTATATCAATTAATTTATAAATTTAAAACAATGATCATCATGAATGAACCATATCATCTCCCATAAATAACTCAACATAATAAATGAATTATAATTATCTTCCATAAATATCTCGATTTTTATTTCCTAATAACATGCTTGAATCGTTTCTAATATTTATGCGGTTTACATCTAAAACGTCCTCTATATATAGTATATCGATCTTAAAAGTAATTATTTTATACGATCAAAAAAGCATATTTATGAAAATTGAACATGTTTAATTAAAAAAAACATATTATATCATATAAAACTAATAATCTTATAAAAACTAGAAGGATATTCGTGCAATGCATCAAGATTTATCTCGATTTTAGTGTTTCGTTTTATTATTTATCTATGTCGATATAATACAATTTTATGTGGTTTTGAGAAAGCGATAATGTTTTTGTTTTTGAATAAAATATAAATATAAATTTGAAAAATACATCGATATTAGTATCAAATTAACTTATTTAAAAGTTCTTGTTTTGTGTATTTTTTTGTAATTCAAATTTTTTATTATAATTTAATTTAACATAACGAAGAAACTTAATTTAGGTTTAATAATACATTTTTAATAAATATAATAATTAAGTGTTCTGTTAAAAATCAATCAATTGTTATAATAATTATATTTTAGATTTTTTATATTTAAAATAAGATATTTACATGTATTTGATCATGTTTTTCTACAATTAATGTACACGAATACAAACATGAAGTTTAATAAATTATATTTACACACAATTTACTTTTAATCTTGAATTCTAAGTAATATGCATCAATAATAGTTACTTCATGTATATAAAATGATTTTTAAGAATTTTTGTTAGATACTTTATAATATAATATAGATATAGATATACATACTATAAATTTATAATCAAAGAAGTTCAAAAAAATATTATTAAACTTTTAATTGCAGATGGTTGCCAAAAACACCATTAAGGCGGTTAGATTCTCTTGAGTCCGGAAACTCGAGAATTGTAAGCAGAGGCGCATAATGTCCAACACATTCAGACTATTTATTAAAGTATACCAGTTGATTATCTTCTTCCTTTTGTTTGCTCTACCAAATCTATAAAACTACTAAAAGAAATCAACTCCAAGGGTTCAAAAGATGCAATTAGGGTTTCTAGCGAAAGAATTTACTAAAACTTTTGTTCAAAAACTGGTAGTGAACGGCTTACCTTTGTCATTCGTCGGCTTTAGACATGAAGGAGAGTCGACTAGGCTTCGGTTGAAAATCACCTCGCCGTTTTTGCTGGTGCGACGATGGACGAATCAAAGACGCTAAAGATCGCTTTACCAAATCGCCTTCCACCGTCCCAATCCTCACAACCGAATTCGTCATAGCTGATCTCCGGCTGTATAATTTGTGTGAGTGATACGACACCGCATCGTTGCTTTGATTACCATTCCTTGTACTCACATTCCTGTGCAAACTACACCGGAACGATCCAGGATGCGTCGTCGGCGAACACATGCACGTCTTCTTCTGTCCATTACTCCATGCCTTGTTGCTGTTCCTGTGATTAGTTGTCTGACTCCTCTCTCTGGGCGACGAAGACGCAATGGAATTATGACCAGTAGAAGAAGCGTTGCGATGATCGATAGAGAAACAAACAGATGGAGACGATGAGACGTAACCGTGGTGATCAACACTAGTGCGATTCGGCGACAGTGATCTGGTCATTGGAGAACCGAAAGCAGAGGAAGACGATGATATAGTGGAGGAACAGAAGCTTCTGGAAGGCGAAATTGATCGTTGAATCTTTTCACGTATGATATTAGATTTGGCTTTTGAAGATGCCATCATCGAATCAGCAATAATGGGAACAAATTTAGTGAAGAGGTTGAAAAGTTGGGAATTAGGGTTCTTAAATTGAAGCGGGAGTTGAAATCGGCAAACATGGTGCAACCGGAGACATCGTTTATATAGATGAGTCAATGGCAAAATATCGTAATTAAGATTAACTCTGGTGGCGTAATGCAAGTCGGTTTAAAAGTGGGGTCCCTGTCGGTTAAGTTAAGATACGGGCAGTTAGCCTCACGCTCTCTGGCAGCGTGATACTCACGTGCAGTTAATGGCTAAAGCATTTGGTCATTCCAATTCCCAAGATTTATTTTGGTCCTTGACTTCTATTTAAAAATCTAATGATTTATTTGTTTAATTCTTAATAGTTTTGTTAATCGACAATATCTAAATTATTAAGAGATGAATCTTGTTTGGTAATTTTTTTTGTCTTTTAATGATTCTAAAACCCTCTAAATAATTTTGTAACCTAAGCCTCCCTTAACCATTAAACGTCATGATTTAATTGTAAATAATTACCAAACAATTATATTTCATTTTGCACTATATCATGAAAGCCACTTAATCATTCTGATCATTTAATCATTTTACACCAAATCATTCAACAATTACCAAACAAGCTTTAAAAAAGGAATTTAAACTTCAATAAGTTCAAGAAGCTATCCTTTGGTTTGCGTTTTTCTCTGAAAGTGATGCGTAATCACTATTCCTGTTAAAAGGTTGTGCATTTTTGTCATTTTCACTTTTTGTCCTTTTCACCATCATCTGCAACACACCATACCCTTTTGCATCCGTGTTATGGTTATAGTTATTTAGATGGTATCCTAAGATTGAGGAGATAGAATTCCTCCGTGGAACACAAAAAAACAAAGATATGAACTGGGTAAATAGAAGTGGACAAGAGATGTTTCCAAGGACCGTCATCGCCACTACCTGTAGCACACTCTTTCTCTACAGCCTAACTCGGACACCAGTCATACCTAGCCACAGTCACCATCCCCCATGGGCGGACCTGTAAGGGAGCATACGGTGGCACGTGCCACCGTATTATTTCGCCTCCGAAGGGTAAAATTTTTAGGTTTCTCAACGGTGCTACCGTATTATTTTGGAAGGTGCTACCGTATTATTTTGAAAGGTGCTACCGTATTCAAACATAGCAATTAAAATTTAAAACCCAAACAAAATAAAGCCCAATTGTCTAACTTAATAAAATGCAAAGTCCAATTAATTGATTAACATTAATAAAATGCAAAGCCCAATTATAGGATTAAGCCCAAATCAAATATACAAAGTTACAAACCATTACCTCTTCTATTCCTCATCTTGGGCTTTTCATTTCTTATGACTAACATATTTAAGCCCAATTTCTTCATTTTCTTGTGCAACCTGGCAGACAGACGAGATTACGAGAAGCATGGGCGGACCTGAATTCAACGATCTTAGGATTAACAAATTCATTGTCTCAAGCTCTTCAAAGGAAAGATGAAGACATATTGGAAGCTATTGATTTGATAGGAACAACCAAAGGTCAATTACAAATGTTGAGGGAAAATGGGTTTGATCAAGTTTTGGAGAAATGCTACTCTTTTTGTGATAAACATAA